ATCGGCCTTCTTGAAGCCGTAGCGATATCGAAAAGGGGCATTCAATCGCTAGCGAGGTAGTCTCCCGCTTCCGCGTAGGGCTATTCGGGCTGTTTCTTAGCCGGCGGCCCCGGTCACAGCATAGGCGAACTATCTTTAGGACCCCTTTCTTTGTACGTTTCGACCGAAGAGTTGAGACTGCGTAGCCATGCTGGCGGCCGAAGATATTGATCGCGACAATTCCTTGCTTAGGCGTATCGTACTGCTGAGGTAAAGGAGGCAGCGGGAAGGTGTAGGACTCGGGAATAGCGTCATGGAGGCTTGGCGGCGCGTGATGGAGGCTTGGCGTCGCGTCATGGAGGCTTGGCGGCGCGTCATGGAGGCTTGGCGGCATCGGCGGGGACTCGGGAATAGCTTCATGCTCAGAATCGGACGGCGAATCAGGCTGTGAGGAAGCCATTGTAAAAAGCAATAAAATGCGAGAGAAATGGGTGGAAACATGGGAGGTTTGAAGGTGTAAACAACAATTATTTTGGATTTCTTGTTGGGTACTACAGTGGTACAGGAGTGACTTAATTTTACTAGCGATTTACATAGTAATTTGAGGTACTAAGGTGTGATATACATGCAGGGTAGTGGTAGCAATAAATAAAAGTTCGAGGATGAAAGCGGTGAGAAAAGCGGTCAGTAAATGCCTGAATCCTCAGGCAGGGGGGGGGTGTTAGCATCCAAAGGGGGGGTGTCTGTATCAATCCCCTATATATATATTACAATTCCAAGGACTAACTGGCATAAGAAGAATGGCTCGCTGTTAGTGGTATTTATCGAGCAAGTACTAGAATTTGGGAATATAGCCTCCGATGGCAAACTCTGGAAGTAATTCTACTTAATTTAGATACTACAACTGTTCAGGATACGCTTAAGTCTTTGCGTATAAGAGGAATTTGGGTCATATTGGTGGCCAGAGACTGAGAGGAGAAAATGGTAGTGTCAATCTGAGTGGAAGGCCGGAGCTGTTGAACTAGGTTTGACAATTACAATTCGTAGATGTGCCTCTCCTCTAATTTTCATCAACAATCTTCCATTCGGCTGCCATCCCTATATAAACTGAAAATTGGTGGACAGGATTTAGAATCCTCCAGGCCCCTAAAGCGAGGCCTTGCTTTTCTCTAAAAACTCTCTCCAGCTGGTAGGCTGATAGCCGTGCTTCTTGAGCAGATCATTGCTCTCCTTCAGGCTCTTGCCGTTGTAGTAACCGGGGTTCTCAATAAACAAGTGATTCTCCAGCATCTCCTCGCCCATAGGGCCAGGAATGAAGCTCTTGTAGGTATCAGAATCCACTTGGACGAACTGGGTCTTCTTTCCAGTAACCTCCTCAAACTCAGCAAGAATGTGCGAGGGAGAATAATAGTCAGCTGCGGCCAGGATTTGAGAACCCAGAACGTCTGAGCGGCTCTTCAGGGCTGTTGCGACATATTTGCCTACAGAAATCACTTTGTTAGCTTTCCCAGTTTTATACTAGAGGCATGGATATAGCATACCCATATCACTGGCAATGTCAACGAGCGGGAATTGGGCATCTCTGCCGACGGGGTATGCTAAGTTATAGACGCCATCATCACCCTTGCGCAGTATTCCAGAAACGGTATAGTTGGCCATGAAATAACCAGGGAGCACAAATGTGGCGGGCACTCCGATCGACCGGATGTACTGCTCAACCTTGGCCTTGTGGTCAAAGTGAGGGACATGAGTGAGCTTACCGCCCGATGCCTCGGTGACATTGAGGAGAGAAGAGAAAATGAGGTGCTGGACGCCAGTCTCTTTGGCTGCATCGGCGACATTCTTGCCGTGCACTAGCTCAGCGTCAGAACCGGCATTGCCCCAATCCGGTGTGGTAACAAGAAACACCGAGTGACTCCCTTTTAATGCCTCAGCCAATGACTCTTTGGAGCTCATGTCGGCCTTGGAAGAATCTGTCAATATTGGGACCTATGTTTTGAAGAAATGATGAGAACTTACAGCCTTGATCTCGACTCCCTGCTGGGCAAGAGCTTGAGCTGCGGGCTTCGAGATATCGCGGGTGATGCCACGAATTTTGAAGTCCTGAGACAAGCTGGCATCCTGCAAGATGGTGCGAATGACAGAGCCACCCTGCTGTCCTGTAGCACCGAAAACCGTGATAAGTTTTGACATGGTTGGAGCCTTGAGAGGTAATGTAAACGTTGAGCTGATGGGTTTGATAATTAGTGACTTGACCTGGACCTGGGAAGTACTCGATCTTTATACCAATATGTGTGCTGTATTAGTGATCATACCATAACCTCGATCTTAATAGACATCAAACCCCAAGTGGCGCGCAAGTTCGGGGGTTCGGTGATCCTTTCTCACCGAAGATCCGCAGTAAATCTATTCTATAAGCAGAGCGACATGATTAATTGTTCTGTTTTGCATATTATTGATCTCGCTGTTGATCGGGGCCGATATTTAGCAATTATTAATGTTGGACTAACAGCGGGGATTCGGGCTTAATATCAACCCCGAGAGAATCACCAACCCTCAAAATTCTTCTACATTCCATGACTTTAGGACGGTTAGAGATTCTTAACTCAATAATGATACTAAGTCACCTGTATAGAGGCCGTTACTGTGTATAAAACCAGCTTCGAGACTTTATCAAATATTGTAATCTCTAAGGTTGGATCCCGCTCTGATTCGGTACGGGATTGAGATGAGCCCGAAGCACATGTAACACACGTAACGGTCTCAGGACATTCTTCAACCTTCGTATTGTGTATTGAATTTTTAGTCTTGATTCTCCATATTACCGCTATAAAAGCAATCACTGGTGATCCATTCATCTCATAAACACTCGATCTAGTCCTGTTTCTTTGCACAATGGCGACAGTTCTAATCACCGTCACAGCAGGGAACCAAGGAGGATCGCACATCAACAGCCTCGTCGCCAGATAGTCTTCCTATCAAAATGATTTTGCGAAAAAGCACTGAGCTTGCATGAAACAACTTGTATCTCCCGAGTGTCGTTAGACCTGATAACCATCGGAAATCCTGCAGATCAGCTGACTCAGTCGCGCCTGTATGGACTTTTGGAATATCTGTCTCTCTATGTATAACTTATATGATATAAAGTTACCTATAGATCTAGAAGAAGTAACGCAGAAATTGCCGTTGTAGGAACCGGCTACACACGTGACCTGTAGGTAGTAGATGAGTAGTCAATCGGTAGATTGGATCTACTGTTCAGCGTATAACTTTGTTGCTTCTGCGTTTGCAGTTGCTGAAAGGTTGTATACTCCTTTGCTTCGGAGTGGATACTCACCGCCCCACTATGAGGTTTCGTTCAAATCTCAACTTCCCGAGAACAGAGGCCAAGTGGAAAAAGATCTGTCTTATATCTTCCGCCTAGATACGGTCATTGTGAAAGTGACTTCGCAAAATTGAAATTGAGTGCGTTTCCTCTACAGCCGCATCGCCACATTGCATGCACCCCGCGACGCGGTTGAGATCAGATCAAATCACAATGACTGCAACTATTCAGCACCCCCAGTCTGCAACGACAGTGTTCCTAGACCAGCCACCGAGCTGTCTAGAATTCTGCCCGGAGGCACCAGACTATTTCGTTGTGGGCACATACCTTCTATCAGAGAACAAAACCGAAGATGGAGAGATACAACAATCCAAAACCGGAAGTATCCAGCTATGGAAGCTAGATCCTGTAAACAAAGCACTGTAAGTCAGGCATGCATGAGTCTGCCCATTGTGTGAATTTGATCGTCGGAACCACAACTAATGTTGTATAGTTCCCAAGTCCAAAGAGTCGCAGTGCCATATGCCGTCTTTGACCTCCACTTCCACCCAAAACACAAGAATATATTCGCAATCGCAAGTAGTGTGGGCTCAGTTTCTCTATTTGAAGTCTCCGCCAGCATATCAGCGGGAGATGATGCATCTACTACAAGTCCCAGCATCACCCAACTATGGACGAAGCAAGTCCACGAAGATCCATCTATCCCAGCCCTGTTCCTAGCGTGGGCACCGGAGAACTGGTTCCCTAGGTCTTCAGCAGACGGATTCGCAGTCACGTTCTCTGATAGCCGGACAGCTGTCTTCGGGACCGAGGGTGATCTCCGCGACGAAGATAGTCTATTTGAATGGGGAACATTCGAAGCGAAGCAAATGATTGAAGTCTGGTTCGTGGCCTTGTCCACAGCTTCCACAGCCTCCGAAGAGCGAAATCCATCCAACATTCCCTTCATGTTCACGGGTAATGATTTCGGCTCATTACATACACGTCGGTTAGATAATACTGCCGCGTTGGACGATACTGATGAGCATATCTCGCCTATACTTCTTGAGCATGATGATCGGGCACGCCATCATACAGCTGGTGTTACTGCCATTCTACCGCTTGGTGTTCCGCTGTTTGACGATGCTCCTGTTCTGCTGACGGGAAGTTATGATGAGGGTTTACGGGTATATCATGCTACACGCAGAGGGGAGGTTCTTGCTGAACAGTGCCTCGACGGTGGAGTCTGGCGGTTGCAGTTGTTGAACACGACGCAAGTGCCTGAGTCTGCAGACGCTTTGAATGTTACGGAATGGAGCTTCTTGGTGCTGGCAAGCTGTATGCATGCAGGCACTAGGCTCGTTCGGGTTACTTGCACGCAGCAGGATGGTACTCCGGAATGGGGGATTGAAGTGCTGGCGAAGTTTACGGAGCATGAGAGTATGAATTATGCCAGTGGTGTATGGAAGGGGACGAAGGTTGGACGAGGGGAGTCTGGATCTGGGGAGCTTCTATGTGTCTCGAGCAGTTTCTATGACCGGAGGTTGTGTGTGTGGACTGTAGCTGTTTAGTCGAATTATAGACTAAATCATCTGCTCTTTACAGACTGGCTATGCCGCCTAATACGTTACTGGAAATAGGGAAGCGGGATGAACTCTAACATGATTGTTATCATGAGCACGCTAGACAAATCACAATGCAGAAGCGACAGGTATACAAGTACATCCGCGCCCAAATAAATCATTCATACCCGAATACAGCATATCATTCCCATTGAAAGTGTAATTAAACAATGGTCTCCAGTTCCCGGGCGTAGCCCAACGCGTTCTCAATAACGGTACCGCTAGCCACCAGGATGTCCCTCTCGGACCTGGCAGCCGCCTCAGGCTCGACAGGGAAGTGTATCCGGCCGTCGCGGAGGATCCAACCACGCTGCTGGGCAAACTCGATAACGGCACCTTCAGACTCGAGGAAGAGGAGGTTTTTGGCGTTAGAGATGGGGAGGGAAGGATAGGCCTTCTCCGAGCAGTCTGCGATTTCACTGCGGATGGTGCCAATGAGAACCTATGAAAGATGGGCGGGTCAGTACTTTTGTTCGACATACAATCGAGTCTGGTGCAACTTACATTCGAGAACAGGCCAAAGTCTTCGGATGGCACACGCTCAGACTTCGTCTCTCTCCACACCTTGTCATAGCTTCCCTCCATCAAATTGCGCTCCAGCTCAACGGGGTATTTGATGTATGCATCATCTTCAACACGGCCACCCTGCAAGCTTGCCTCTTCAACCAATCCTTCTAGCACTGTGTGGAAGTTGGCACTGTCGCCCATGCTCAAAAGAAGAAGCAGGTACAGTCCTGTGATTTTGCTCCGCTGGCTAGTGCTGAAATCCACATTTGACGAGGTCTGGCCTGGAAGACCGGCGTGTCTCTCAAGATCGTAGAATGGCTGGAGTTGCTGGTAGTATCTTGTGAATAGCTGCGCGTCGGTCTGGCGGATTGAGGCGAGGGCTCCGAGCTCGAGGACTTGACGAGCGAGGACGACAAGCTGGGGAGGTGTGGATGAGGTTGGGATCAATGCATTTTGCATAAGAAGAGCCCGCTTGGCGCGGCTAAGGAGGTCGTTGGCGGTGTCCAGCTGCTTGCGCTCGAGAGCACCGTGGAGCTCTGAGACAAGGGACTGCAGATCGGACATGATGTGTGCGGGGTGGATTCAGGATAATGCTGAAAAAGGTTTAGCAGAGCCGAAACGCAATCTAACGCAGGCAATGGCTGCAACGGAAGAGATAGAGAGCTTGAGGATAAGTGGATGATCGTTGGTGACAATCCGGCGCTCATGACGGAGCTGTGGTGGGCGGTCAGCTTGTGGTCGCACGTGACCTTGTTTATAATAGGAGATACCCACCGCCCGTCTACTAATACTTTCTGGAGATTCTTCGATTTTTAACTTGACTATTGATTTGCATCGAGCTTTTAGAATTGCGCCATTGCCCGGCAAAACCAGCATGTGTTCAATTGAAGCTGTTTTGAGTAGTATGTTAAGACAATGCTAACTGGACAAGGCTCTGAAAGAGAGGCGTCCCCAGTCCTGTCACAGGGTCCCACCCTTCGGTGGCATTCCAGCTCGCACCTGACACCAGAGGTGTTTTAATTTTCCCGACACAGCCAGTGGAGCCACCGTGAACAATGTCCGTGAACCCAGGTTGTCCGATGCTATAAAGCCATGGATTCAAAAAGCCCATTCTAGGCATATTCTGTGCTAGACGGGCAGCGTTTAGCTGAGAAACTACAGCTGCAAATACTGGCGCCGATGCACTATACATACTTTAGTCTGTCCCTTTTCTTCAGGGTTGGGAAGTACAAACCTTGTACCACCGACCAACGCCCAACTTCCATGGTCTCGAACCACGAAGTTACTCGCCTGGGCTGCTACATCGGGAATGCCTCTTCCCTGGGGATTGTATAATCCACTCCATTGACTTCCCAGTTTACTGAGATAGCCATCCACTGCAGTGTCCTGGTACGTTGGACGTGGGAAAAGATCCGAGAATCCACCACCAGAGAAGGAAATTGCAATTTCGGGGTCGGTGTCGTGCGTTCCTCCAACGGATGTGACGAACGGACAAGAAGATGGAAATTCAGGTAGGAATTTGGTTCGGTTCTGCCCGTCATTACTCAGGCAAGAACCTCCAGGCCCTGAATCCCCACTGCTGAACAGCACTGTAACACCGCGCGCGCCGAGCTGGGCGAACAGACTGCAAGTTGCATTTGCATATGATTCTGGAACACTCTGCTCATCTTCTCCATATGAGTTTGAAAGTACCGCTGGAAGTTCGTGGTCCGAGAGACTGAGCAAATAATGTAGTTGGTCGAGGTAGGGCTCATTCGTGGACTCAGTGCCATTTATCCGGCCAACCTCTCGGATTATAGGAGCTCGTCCACCGGTGGTGTAGAAGGCCGCTCTCACTGCATCTGCGAGGGAAATGGCGTACTGCACATCTAAGCTGGCTTCAGTGCTGTCAAGTGAAGAGTTCTGGTCATTCTGTCCATCATGAATTGAAACCACGGTGAAGTTGTTTGTATTTTCCGCGGCGTAATGGGCCATGAAATGGTCAAAATCCCGGTATCGAGCGTATTGGTCTAAGTAACCAGATATCCCAAGGATATTTTGCCGGCTTGGTCTGGTAGTCATGTTCCCAATGCCATACAGGTCTCGAATGCAGGCTGGTGTGATCACTCTGCGACATCCAGCGGCCAGGTCTTCAGGACTTGCAACTTTTGGTTGGATTAAGCGAGACGTTTTCAGAGACCCGAGGTTGCTGAACCGAGTCGTTGGTTGAATCAATTGGACATATGGATGGATATCACTAGGCACTGAATAACCAAGGGTGCGGATGGCGGTACTTTTCTGGGCATATTGATGGAAGTAGAAAAATCGTGTTTTCATCATTTGCTCAGCCTGGACAATTGGAACTGTGAATTTTATCCAGTTGCCTTCTTCTTCGATGAAGCTGGCAGGGACATTTTCTGATTTCAGCCATGCGAGAACTCGACCTAAAACAGATGGGTGTGGACGCAGAAACTCGTTCACTTCTTCTCTTGTCATATGCTGACCGTATGTTGCATGTCCCGGAGTTGACAGGCCAATCAATTTTTGTTCAAATTCTGCAGCGTTACTTTGGAAGATTGCCAGATTGAATGTCATTAGCATTGAGACTGAAGGTCTGCTTCCTCTTGACCAGCCCTCCGGTACATTCTCCAATTGCTCAACGCGCTCATAGTTTGAATCAGCAGCTTGTACCAGCGAGGAGCAGCATAGTGCAAGATTTAAGATATGGAAAGCTAGGGAAGAAGGCCTCATTGTGTCATGCAACGCTTGACCAAGTGACATGTACTTCGATGCTGAGAAGTTGCAATATGGTTTTTGGGCCCAGTATGCATGCTTTATAGGATGTGAAATATCTTCACCTGTTACAGGTCCCTCCATCTTCTTGCTTAAAGTTCAATCAGGGGACTACCCTTCCAAACATGGGTATAGTGCCAAGGAGGTTGAATGCAGAAATACAACGTTGCACGCTAATTCCATGGTCACCTGCATCACATCCCCTATAAAGTCAGCGTAGAAGTCTCTTGGTAAGACAAGCCTTGGCTATAGGTGAATCATCTCCGTGAAATGGTCGTGGGTAAAGACCTGGGGCCGGAGTCTACTTGGTAAGTGTAAGAGTGTTTTACTGCGAGAATACAACACAGACTCAGTGAACTGTTCGATCTAGCTTCACCTTCAGTCAAATGCGCAATTTAACCTTAACAGCAACCTTAAACTCACGTTGACCAAGCATAACAAGGTCTGAAGTAGGCCAGTCTCAGTCGTACTACCTCATAGCTTGATATCGAACACAGGGTCTCGTGTCATTTGTTTAATCGCCTGAGGGATGTTCAGTGACCCATAGGTCACTTGCTGGGGATAAGTGATTTTTGTTTCTTTTTACCCTTTTTTTTGGGAGACTGAGGGTCACTCAGCCTACTACCGTACAAACGAGCTATAGTTTACCCCAGCGTCCTGAACAAGGAGGTTTTCTACGCCCTCCGTGCTTATCCATGGATTTATACAGCCCATTTAGTCAACGAAGGCGATGTCATTTAAAGTACCTAGCTTTCTTTGTTAGAGCGAAGAGGAGAGGTTGGCAAAGGAAGAAGCAGGTTATATCTCCGGGAGCACCGCCTATGTCCAAGCCGGGGAAGGTCTGTGTAGTGCTTAACGCGACCGAGGGAGCTGTATCATACTATAAAATAGCACTATACCATTCCATATTCAAGGGAAGATATGGGGATATGGAGGATTGAGGCGAATGTAAAGAAAGAGAGGTACAGGGTCTCACGACCCGTACTGTATCGGCCAATTGGAGATATCAATGACTCTGTCTTTCATTACCCCTATTTCTCGCTATTTATTGGGCAATTTCTAATTACATAAGGGTCCTCGTCCTCGGGTAACTTATATCATATACCCGAAGCCATTCGGATCATCTATAGACCCGGTTTCATGCAGTATTCGTAAGATAATGCCCAAACAGGGTTGGTGCCTTGTTGCCTGATCGGATTATTGAGGCTCCGAAGAAATGCGGGATGATCGACGTCACGATGGAGCAATGGAAATGATTCTCGCGTCAATCCGAGACGAATCAGTGATCCTGCAGAGAACTGGATATATTCTAATTCAGCCCTACTCGACCGGCAAGCACGTTGTACTTTCAGGTGTTGCGTTTGTGGCTTGAACTGTTGGAATGCGGGGGTATTAATCGACCTCATTCCCTCTCAGAGCTACAGGCAGAGCTACAAGGAAGTTATCAAATCCATCCGGCCTCACTGTGCGGGGTGGCATGATTTGCTGAATCGACGTCATTGCTACATTTCACATAATACAAGACTTGACCCCCGACTTTCTTCCTTTACCTGAACTCCCTCTCTGTCCACCATGGCCGAAGCTGAGTTACAGTACACCCGTCGGTTGTCGGCGGACAACCAGACAGTCTCTAAATCTGAGATCTCCTTGAAGGAGCGGTTCTTCCGCTACTTCCAGCATGAGATTACCGGTATGCTCTATTATGCTCCATTGTGTTCCCCACTCGCGACAAAGAAGCTTCTCACTAAAGTAATATTGAATTCTAGACCTCCAGCAAAAGATGGACCACCTCGCGGATACTTCACTTGTGGGCGGTGAACGTGTAGACGCAACCGACCACTGTCTGGCTGGAATTGTGCGCTTATCGAATGAAGTCAAAGATGCAGCAAGCTATATCCCTACTTACGACCAAAGGGTGTATGCGGAGGTATGCCACACTGAGAGCCTTGTTCCTTGTGAGCATAACTGATCTCCCCACAGGCCATCAAAGCTTTGCAGGACCGACTGAGCGAGACACGTGCCACCTTCCAACCCCGTTCAAAGTTCAGCTTCAAGACCAAGAAGAACGCCTCTGCCATCTCTTTGTCTGACGCCGCAACACTTGCAGCTGCAGGTCGGCTCAGTGTCCCTGGTTACCGCTCCCCTGGCGCCTCCTCCGTCGATTCCTCTGCAAACCAGACACCCAACTACCCTTCCACTCCGCTCAACGAACCGGATAGGCAGCACCAGCACCATGAACGACCAGAATGTGCACCTACCTCATTCCCGGTCACTGCAGTTGATGATTTCGTTACAAAGTCTCACACTGACAAGGCCAGTGGTCCATTTGCCGCCACGGGTGTCTCCTCTGTATCTGTTGATGACCATTATGGACTGCATATCATGCTTCCGTCCTCCGGATCGAGCTCCACAGTCCCCGCCTCGATCACCTCCTTGGAACACTGCATTGTTGACATGTCCATTCCCACGGCCAATGGGAAACCGTATGCCAGTCTGACCGCCAAGGATATCAAAGAAAGCTTGCTGGTCTGCGGTCAGGTGAATGGTCCTGCCCATATAACCGATGTTGAGAATACTGTCATGGTCGTTTCATGCCGTCAGTTCCGGATGCATAACTGCAAAAACGTTGATGTCTACCTCAGTTGCTCTAGCAATCCCATTATTGAAGACTGTTCCAATGTCCGATTTGGTCGGATTCCCAAGGCTTATGTCAGTGTTCTATCTGGGGCTCTTGCTTTTCTTACCAGCCATACTAACTCGCTACTGTAGGCATTGAACCATGACCGCCCTGATAACGAAGACCGCTGGAGCCAGGTCGAAGATTTCAAATGGATTAAGCCAGAGCCGAGTCCTAACTGGAGCCTACTTGACGCCAACGATGCAGTCCCGGAAGAAGTCTGGGCAGAGATTGTTCCTGGCGGGCCGGGATGGTCTCTTGAGGACATTTTGCACGCTATCAACCTCATCAAATGATAGTCTCACGAGATTCACCTGATTGACATCTCGTCACTCTTCGAAAGTTTCATTGAATAATAATTTCCTATCTGGCTAAAGCCTTCGATCTCGGTACTCTTTTCACGACACCCTACGGTCTCCATGTTTACGTCAAACACCAAGTTCCACTCTTTTTTTGTTTCTGCCTTTATGTTCACCGATGAAGTTGTGCGGTCTATGTATGGTGAACACTGATGAGGATTTCCATCTGCGCTACGTTCTGCTATGTATTTGTAACTTTGGACACAAATCAAGACAACATTGAAGGAGGATATCTGCTCGTACATTGGGACCTTGTATATGACTGCTAGTTACATCACTGTCAGTAGAGACCTTTCCTGTGCTTCTGGAAATGAGTGATCAAAGTGAAGCAGTAGCCGGCAAGCTCTAAAACTTCAACTTGAATGCCAGAATTTGAGTGTCAAGATCGTAGCCCGACTCGTCCTTGTAATCGAACTTTCCAAAGTTCATGTGTCCTAGAAACCATTAGCCATCAACCCACTTGGTCCCAAGAAGCGATAATCGTACCATCCTGAGTTATGAAGTCATTGTCACTGAAACTGAACAAGAAGTACTCCTTCTCTCCAGCCCCAGAATGTACAGAATTCACCGGCACAACCGAAAGGCTTTCCCACTTCTCATTAAGAAGGAACTCATCCACAGGACCACCATTATGAAGACGGAATTTCCCCAGCTCCGAATTCACATTATAATCCAAAAACGAGCAATACTCAACCGGAACAACCCCGTCAAACAAAACACCCTCAGACGAAGCAATCGCCCCTGTCGCATCATCATAGTTCTTCTTCCCCTTCAAATCAGTAACAACCGGACTGCCCTTCAACGAGAAAACATCCGCATGTCGATAAACAGACCTTGTCTCCTCCTGTCCCCTCCCAAACCCGGAATCCCTAGCCAAAACCAAGAAATCCCCAGTCCGCAACTGATGAATCTCAGATTGCCCAGCAACACGAACCGCCTTCGCAGGATTCTTCTCCGTATAATCCGAATACGTAGGCAGCAAAACCACATGCTCACCCGCAAACACAGGCTCACGCCCATGCCCACCAATATCATAAACAAGCAACCTCGCCGGCCGCCTCGAACTCTTCCCAGGCCCACCCTCCTGATCAAGCGCACTCTGCATAAGAGCATACAACATCCGCCCATCAGCCGAAACAGTCAACCCCTCAAGTCCCTGATTATTATTCCTCCCAGACTCCGTATTCACAGGCTCAGGCACCGCATCCGGGTTATAAAGCGGCGGCGAATCAGCATTGAAGCTGACCGTACCGTTTCGGCGTGGTAGGTATGCCTGCGGAGGCTGGATGGCGCGTTGCATGCGTCCCGCTGCGTTGAATTTGTAGATGTACGGTCCGTACTCATCTGAAATCCAGAACCCGCCATCGTGCGTGTCCAGGGCTAGACCTTCTGTGTCGATAGATACTCGTTTGCCCCCCGGCCCAGAGCCGCCGTAGCCGTTGCCTGAGTAGGTTGATGCTGGGAGTGGGGGGAAGCCGGGGAAGCTTGCGTGTCCGGTTATGTCGGCGTCTAGGCCTGTTGTTGGGGCGCCGGTTGGGTCTGTTAGGAGGATCGTGTCGAGGTATTTTAGGTTGATATTTGGGGGAGATGGGTGTTTGGCGGTTGCGTTGGGTGCTAGTTTTAGGGTTATGGTGAATTTGTGGATGCGTGATTGGAAGTTTAGGGTGCCGTTTGTGTTCCTGGATATTGTTAGTTGGGGGTTTTGTGTTATCTTGGGATATATATCTTGCCAGCCTCGGTCTGGGAGTGTATAGACAACTCCCGAGTACGTATCCAGCCCTGTCTTGTGCCAGGATGATTGGTCAATGGCAATTGAACTGCCAATTCCTCCGATTGTATCACCATATTTATCGGTAGCATTCGAAGGAATGAATCCATAGCCAGCAAGACCGGTGTATTTATATGTCGTCCCAGCGCAAGTCGTCTGGTTGACAATATGTTCAGCAGCCTGTGCTGTCGCAGACAGAAGAGAAACCAAGAAAGTCCACTTCATGTCGAAAATGATTCAACTTGATCCGTGATCATGTTGACTTGCGGTTTTCTTCATATTTATGTTGTTCCATACGTCGTAGATCTTTCCCCCCTCATCCGACATCGCATTGGCAACTATTCCTTGTTAGTGCAACGAACTAAACAAACACAACGTGCGGGTGGTGCCGTGCGCCATTCGCTGATCGGACCTGCAGGGGTTATTGCACATTGAGATATTGTCCGAGTTAGCTTTAATCTCCATATACGCCAATCATTGCCCTGGTTGGTATGCGGAGCCTAATGCACTATCTGATCCTGGTGTGCGGAGGCTCCGGTGCCACGTTGGGTTATGATTTGTGCTCAAGTTTTAGCTAATTTGGTAGTCAACTTATTAAATTACTATTACATTACATCCAAGGGATCTACTAGATCACGAATCGACTCATGCCAATTTTGGAGATGTTTAGGATCAAGTGTTCCAGGTTGTTGGCAGTTTCGGGTAACTTTTCGCGTCGAATCCCAGGTCCTGATAGACAGTTGCGTCTCCTGCATGCACGTATGTATGTCAGTAACGAGTAGGATCGGCAGAATATCAACGCAAGAACATACCCTGTAGAGCATCGATTCGATCTTCATTTTCACCTTCCAACTTCTCCAACTCTTCACCGGGCTCTTCTTCGTGAGGCTGCTTCTCGCCCTGAGAAGTCGCAGCTTTGCCAAGGTCATTCTGCGCCTCGCCGATCATAAGAAATTGGGAATTCGGATAGTCCAGGAATTCCGGTTTGAGAGGCACCCATCGGAGGTCTCCGAACTTCTCGAGTACCCTAACGAAGAATGAGTTAACAACAATGTCCTTCTCCCCATAACTGAGGGCCATGCTTACTGCGCTGGATACTCTGGATTCTTTGGTAGCTGGCCAGCCGGTGGACCCGGGAACTTAGGGTTCTTCGATTGAACAATCCAACTCCCGCGTTCACGGAGGCCAAACTCCTCTTGAACAGCACCCAATTCAGCAGGGATAGTCAGAATATACGCGAGATGGGAGGCTCGCGGTGTGGAGGTAAGCGCATAGACACCTTCCGCATAAGGCCTGGCTTCCTCGATGTGACGTTCACCCGCGGTCTTGGTCTGGTATGCCTTTCCAGCAATGAAGTTTTCATGGAGTGCTTGCATAGATTGGCCAGCCTTTTCAACGAACCCCATGTCTCTCTCCTTGCCAGAGGTTGGGAACTTCTTCTTCGGGAGCATCATCAAGCGACATCGGGCGTCTTTGGCCACCGGGCCTTGGCCGCGGTCGAATTCGGCGCCTAATGGGGCTGGACGCAGCACGAAGAAGCTTCGGGCAATGTCTCCAATGCTGTGAGGCTCTTCTATGTTGACGCGCGGTCGGAAGAAGAAGTATATGAAGCCCTTCTCGAGGATGTTGGAGGGTACCACATCTTCCCTCGCCTCGGACTTATGGATGCCCGCCTCGATATTTTCAGGTTGCTTCGGGGGCTTCTCATCGGGCTGCGTTCCAGATGGCTTGTCCGTTTCGGCTGGTGCTTTGACTGACTCTGGCGTTGGGGGGCCAATGTCCGTTGTGCTCGGTGCCACATCTTCTGGTTTTTGTCCCGGTTTGATGTCCTCAGTCTTTTCCTTCTTGGGCTGCGGGGCCTTCTCGGTTGCAGCCTTCCGCTTTTTGCCTTGGGGAGGTTTTCCAGATGGCTCAGCGGAAGTCGCAATGGCATCCTTGGCCTTCTGAGCCGCACGACGCGATGATGTTCGTGCCATGATGTCTGATAGAAGTCACAATACTGATTTTCTAACGAAATGGATAAAGAGAAGAATGAAGTTGAGAAACCACTGATGTGGAACTCTACAGCATACCATGAGATGCATATGACGTCATTTATACCGCGTTTGATAATCGTCACGCGTCATGCTTTACTGATGATGCAGAGAAAAACAAGGTAGCATAGGTCAATCAATGTCCATCTCGTCGGCAGCAGAATCATCCATGGTCTCGGTACCGCTCAGGTCGGGCGTTTGGGCCTCGGAACTTGAACTTTCATTCGTTTTGGGCTCCCTGAAAGCGTGGAACGAACTGGTGTCATGGTGATCCCAAGACTCTCCGCTGTATCCTCGTCGTCTTTTGCGGTTCTCATCATGTACTTGACGTTGGGGCTCTGCCAATGTAGATCTTCGCCTGAAGGAATGAGAGCCACAATGAGAATGTGTAGAGCTTGCAGTAGAGACTGGCTTTCTCTTCTGTCCTCTCTTTCCCATGGTGAGCTGTTTGGTTATATTGCTGTTGTCAGGTTGAAGATTCAATCCGTTCATATATTCTCTCAAGTCTCGCTGCCAGCGTTCAAAATAGTCTGGAAGACATCGTAGATCGTGCCTTGGCAATGTGACATCCGGTTCGTCGTCCGGCTCCTCAATGGCATATGGCCTGATGACTTGGCTATCATCGCTGTCATGATTTTCATTACCTTCAAACAAGTCGATGTCGTGTGTAGGCGTTGAAGGACCTGAGTCGTTGACGCTGCGGCCACTCTCGTCTGTCAAAGGCCCCGCGGGATCGAAAGGACTCAATCGTGGGGTTTGTTCAAAGAGTGTCTTGTGATCATTTTCAGATAAACCGAAGGTGGGATCGGTCATGTAAAGACCCTCCATTGTAGATCGGGTCTCGTCCAAGTGGTCAAATGGAGTTATGCGCAGGATGTGTTGCGAGGTACATAATGAGATTTATAAATAGAGACAAGAGTACGGAGTTCGAAGTGTCAAAGTAAAGAAGTTCCTAAACACAAATACAGGAAGGCCAGAGATGGAACTTGTAAGAAAGTTATGGTCCCCGTCAAATCATCATGGCCTTCCAGATGCTTCCGCGGGGAGTATGGGGAGTACATGAGGAGCAACTCCACAAAGTTGGGTTAAATGTACTTAGACACTTTTGTTTTATTGTATAATTAACTAAATATCGAATAGCCCCCGATCTCACGATCTAATAATAAGTCAACTATGTAATCCCCGTAGGATCGAGCTCCCCCCCTGATCGCTCACCGCCCGGCTGCATGATTGGCCGTGGCATTCGCTTGAGTAGAGTCCACGTTTAGTTTACTGCTTCACCAACCGTCCAACGTGTTTACCTTTGCTCTACCTTCTCTCTTTTGGCAGTGGATGCGGTGGTCACCCCTGCTCTTCTTTACTATCTAGTGTGCGGAGCTTGCTACGTCAAAGTGCGGCTCCGGCCAAGTCGTCAAGATGCAGTCCTCCCCAAACATGCTCACAAAGGTACGCCCCTCCCAATGGCCTCGGAGCCATCTTCGCGCCATCAATAGGTGTCTGCACAGTCAATTGGAGATTCTAACCATCATCTCTCGCCCAGTTTGAGTCGAAATCCTCCAGAGCCAAGGGAATCGCATTCCATCCCAAACGGTCAGTGATTCCCGCGGAGGGACACCTACACGTCGAAGCATCTGAACTGACCTCGAAACAGGCCATGGATTCTCGTTTCTCTCCACTCTTCCACTATCCAGCTGTGGGACTACCGCATGGGAACTCTCATTGACCGATTCGAAGAACACGATGGCCCAGTCCGAGGCATTGATTTCCACCCGACCCAGCCCCTGTTTGTGTCCGGAGGTGATGATTACAAGATTAAGGTCTGGAACTACCAGACTCGGAGATGCCTGTTCACATTGAATGGTCATTTGGATTATGTGCGCACAGTGTTTTTCCACCCCGAGCTCCCTTGGATCTTGTCTGCCTCCGATGATCAGACAATTAGAATCTGGAACTGGCAAAATCGGTCACTCAGTACGAGGCCCCGGAATCCCCTGTGCCGACATTAACTAACGCTCTCTCGTTTTCTCTAGTCTGTACGATGACCGGTCACAACCACTATGTTATGTGCGCCCAGTTCCATCCCACCGAGGACCTCATCGCCTCCGCCTCATTGGATCAGTCGGTTCGCATTTGGGATATCTCCGGCCTGCGAAAGAAGCACTCGGCCCCAACCTCGATTTCGTTCGAAGACCAGATGGCACGAGCCAACCCCAACCAAGCCGACATGTTTGGGAACACCGACGCAGTTGTTAAGTTTGTGTTGGAAGGTCATGACCGTGGTGTGAACTGGGTGTCGTTCCACCCCACACTTCCTCTGATCGTATCGGCCGGTGACGACCGATTGATCAAGCTCTGGCGGATGAGTGATACCAAGGCCTGGGAGGTTGATACTTGCCGCGGTCACTTCCAGAATGCCTCTGCTGCTCTGTTCCACCCCCACCAGGACCTCATCCTTTCCGTTGGCGAAGACAAGACTATCCGTGTGTGGGATCTCAACAAGCGTACTTCCGTCCAATCCTTCAAGCGCGACCTCGATCGATTCTGGGTTATCGCTGCCCACCCCGAGATGAACCTGTTTGCCGCAGGCCATGACACAGGTGTTATGGTCTTCAAGCTCGAGCGGGAGCGTCCTGCGTCCGCCATTTACCAGAACCAGCTCTTCTACATCACGAAGGAGAAGCACGTCAAGTCATATGATTTCGCCAAGAATGTTGAGTCGCCGCCAATGCTCTCACTACGCAAGCTGGGCTCCCCTTGGGTCCCTCCCCGTACCGTCTCTTACAACCCCGCTGAACGTGCCATTCTGGTTACCTCGCCCGCCGACAATGGAACATATGAGTTGATTCATCTCCCCCGGGATGCTACCGGTGCGGTCGAGCCTACAGACGTGAAGCGTGGCCAGGCTACATCCGCAGTCTTTGTGGCCCGCAACCGGTTTGCTGTCTTCAACCCCTCTACCCAGCAGGTCGACATCAAGGATCTCAGCAACTCCACGACCAAGACTATCAAGGCTCCCGCTGGCACAACTGACATTTACTTTGGTGGCACCGGATGCCTGCTCTTCATTACCCCTACGCATGTCTCTCTCTTCGATATCCAACAAAAGAAGCAGCTTGCGGAGCTTGCTGTTAGCGGTGTGAAGTATGTGGTCTGGTCTAACGATGGACTGTACTGCGCTTTGCTCAGCAAGCACAATGTCACCATTGTTACCAAGTCTCTCGAGCAGGTGAGCACTCTGCACGAGACCATTCGTATCAAGAGTGCCACCTGGGATGATGCCGGTGTTCTGCTCTACTCTACCCTCAACCACATCAAGTACTCGCTCCTTAACGGTGACAACGGTATCATCCGCACCCTCGACCAGACCGTGTACCTCGTACGCGTGAAGGGACGCAATGTCTACGCCCTGGACCGTAACGCCCAACCCCGCATCCTGGAGATTGACCCGACTGAGTACCGATTCAAGCTTTCTCTGGTCAAGCGGAACTACGATGAGATGCTGCAGATCATTAAGACCTCCAGTCTGGTTGGCCAGAGCATCATCTCTTACCTGCAGAAGAAGGGCTACCCCGAGATTGCTCTGCAGTTCGTTCAGGACCCGCAGACCCGCTTCGACCTGGCCCTTGAGTGTGGTAACCTCGAAGTTGCCATCGAGATGGCTCGGGAGTTGGACCGCCCCAACTTCTGGACCAGACTGGGAACCGAGGCATTGGCTCATGGTAACCACCAGACTGTCGAAATGACCTACCAAAAGCAGCGTAACTTCGACAAGCTCTCTTTCCTCTACCTAGCCACAGGTGACCAGGAGAAGCTCTCTCGTATGGCCAAGATCGCTGAACATCGTGGCGACTTCACTTCCCGCTTCCAAAACGCCATTTACCGTGGGGATGTTGAGGACCGAATCCACATGTTCAAGGAAGTGGACTTGTATCCTCTTGCCTACCTCACTGCCAAATCACACGGTTTGACCGAAGAAGCTGAGTCAATTTTGGAGGCATGTGGTCTCACCGAAGATCAAATCAGCCTGCCTACGCTGGAACACCCCCTGAAGGTTGCACACCCCATTGTGCCTACCTTCAAGTCCAACTGGCCTGTTAAGGCAGCTGGTCACTCATCCTTCGAAAAGGCGCTCCTTGGAGAAGTGGGTGCTGCAGATGACGAGGCTGGTGCAGATGGGTTCGAAATCGAGGAGGAGGAGCAAGAAGCCACTCTTGCTCGGGAAACTCTGGATGATGACGAAGAAGATGCTTCCGGCTGGGATATGGGAGATGATGTCAATGTCGAAGAGGATGTCGACTTTGTCAACGTGGAAAGCGCCGAAGCTGGCGCAGGCAGTTCCGAGGCCGACCTATGGGCTCGTAACTCCCCACTTGCTGCGGACCATGTTGCTGCCGGCTCCTTCGAGACTGCCATGCAGCTCCTGAACCGTCAAGTCGGTGCTGTCCAATTTGCCCCTCTGAAGAGCCGTTTCCTTGATATCTATAAGGCATCCAAGACCTATCTTCCCGCGACTCCTGGCCTTCCCCCTCTGGTCAACTATGTTCGCAGAACTGTCGAGGAAACTGACGCCCGCAAGATGCTCCCAATCATTCCTCGGGACCTCGAAACTGTCGCCAATGTCGACTTGCAGGAGGGTTACGCCGCTATGCGCTCCAACAAGCTTGAGGATGGTGTGACAATCTTCAAGAACGTTCTTCACACTGTACTGGTCAACACTGTCTCATCTGAGGCTGAAGTGGAGCAGGCAAAGAAGATCATTGCCACTGCCCGGGAATACATCCTCGCCATGTCTCTTGAGCTTGAGCGTCGTGCTCTCTCTACCGACACCCCTGAGAACCTCAAGCGCAGCCTTGAGCTGTCCGCTTACTTCACTATCCCTAAACTTGAGGTTGCTCACCGACAGCTGGCATTGATGGCTGCCATGAAGCTCGCCTTCGCCAACCGCAACTACTCCTCCGCCTTGAGCTTTGCCAACCGGATGCTGGCCAATGGCGGCTCGGCTAAGCTTTTGGATCAGGTAAGATCCCCCCAGCTCAACTATCTTGATACCCATGCTAACTATGCAAAACAGGCCAAGAAGATCAAAGCCCAATGCGAACGCAACCCGCAAGACCAGATCGACATTGACTTCGACTCCTTCGCCGAGTTCGACATCTGTGCTGCCTCCTTCACCCCGATCTACAGCGGCTCCCCCAGCGTGTCGGATCCCTTCACCGGCGCCAAGTACCACCCCCAGTACAAGGGCAGCGTCTGCCGGATATCGGATGTCACGGAGATCGGTGCGCCGGCCAGCGGTCTGCGCCTGTTCGTCCCCAGTCAATTTTAATTGCAGCATGACGAAGATTCACGGTTTTTTACCTTTTCCCCTCTCTTCTTCTTGATATGAAGTTACAAAACGGGTTCCTTTTCATCTGCACGAAGAGAAGTTGTGTTTGGTGGCGCTTTTTTTTATCGGCTGGGAGAAAGACAAAACTTCCTGCACAGTCCCCTGTCTAGATGTCTTTTTGTATCCAAGATTATAATTTCTTAGCGATCTAGTTTGTATGCGAACATGTTTAGTCCTATGTCTTTCTATATTAACTCCTAGAGCCCTGCATACGTAGTAAGTCGAAGCTCAAGGTGTAGCAGGATACATCTCTATAGAAGCCCAATCTATATCAATTCGCTAGAATATGCATATCTAATGTACAAAATGTCCGACAAGATGAGTAGAGAGAAGAACAAACCAACACTAATCATAAGCATACAACATATTAAACACCGTCGACACCTACACTTAATCACACCTCCCATCCTTCCACCCAGTCCGCCACCTCTCCTCCCAAAACCGACAATCAAACTCCTTCTTCCCAAGTTTCCGATTAACCTCATTATGCGCCTCACACATCCACCACCCAAACTCCTTCCGACTCTCCAACCGCGGCTGATTCCGTCCACTGGGATGCGCCATCCAAGTCTGGAAATCATCCGCGCAAACCCAGCACGGGTAAAGCTTCGAGAAGAACTTCAAGAATCCGCGCATGTTATCCTGGTGTTCTGTGTTCGCCTTTTCAGGGTATGTCGCTGCCATCGAGTGCAGGAGTGTCCAGGTTGAGCGGCCTAGTTGTTCGACGTCTGGTGGGCACTCTGCGGGTATTTCGCTTGAGGAGGGGGTTGCTGCTGCCGCTAGGTCTGGTTTTGAGGTTGTCGTTTGATTTGTGCTTGTTGGGGTTTCAGCTTTGGCTTGTTTTGTTAGGGCTCGCCATGAGGCGACGGATGTGCAGGTGCGACAGCTGGTTGACCGGGTTAGTATATACTTGATTGATGGGTTGGTGCTGGCTGGGTCTGTGTGAATGTGGATGTTACTTACGGCTTGCCGTCCTTGTCTAGCACGACACCCTTGGGCAATGGGGCTTTCGAGTCATCGTCTCGGGCTTGCTTGGATGAGCTTGCGGCTGCTGATGGTTGCTGGCTGAAGACGTTTCCTGTGCCTTTGTATCGGGCATCCACTCGCTCCGGTTGTACTTCAGCCATATTGATTCCGTATATGCTTGATATATTCGGGGAATTAGGTATTGATGGTGGTGTATGTATGCCGGAGCTGATTTCTAATAGATGCGGAGAACGGCGGAGGCAAAAGAGGCAGTAGTGCTGGAACTTCGGCGCGAGAGTTGGCAAATGAAAGGTAAGATGACCATAAGTGTCCTCGGAAGAGATCAACAAAATAAAAAGGCACAGCAATAGATATTGGCGAGCTTTTGAGCAGTTGTAAATGATTCCAGGTGAAATATCTCGCCGATCAATCTCGATCCCGCTTTGTCATCCTATGCGCGCTCTCCGACGCGCATTGGAGTTAACCACGGATTGCTCTCATTCAGGCTAACTCGCATCTGATTTCCTCCATATATTCTCTTACTGTCCAAATTTGACACTGAGCTACATATTTCTGTACTCGCAACCCCGCCAGTAACCCTCTAACTGCCACTGGACGATATAAAAATGGCACCGAAGTATACCATGTCCGACTCCGAGGAGGAGGTGGACGTCGCGCCCACAGCTCCCTCTGACCAGGCTCTTGAGAAGGGTCTTCGTGATGGTGTTGCCGCAGTTTACAAGGCTGGCAACATGGAGGAGTTGACCGTGAAGCGCGTGCGCCTTGCAGTTGAGAAGCAGCTAGGGCTTACAGAGGGATACTTCAAATCTACGGATGACTGGAAAGCGCGGAGCGAAGAAATTATTCGGGATGAAGTGGTGAGGAAATACATCAATTGCGAGTGAAGCTTCGATATTAGGACCGATATTGATTTGCGATCTCATACAGGAAACACAAGACAACGCCGCGAATAATCCCGAATCGCAACCTGCGGAAGCATCACCATCTCCTTCTCCAAAGCCCAAAAAGACCTCCCTTCCCAAACGGGCAAAGGCCGAGAGTGCGCCTAAGCCCAGGAAGCGACAAAAGACGAAGACACCGGAGTCAGACGAGGAAGACGAGCAAGACGATGCATCTGTCGCATCTGACGAAAATGAAGAGGTCAAGCGCAAGAAACGAACCAACGCACCAGCTAAGAAGAAAGCGGCACCAAAGCCCAAGAAGGTCGTGTCTGACGTCTCCGATATGTCTGAGAACGAATCTGATCCTGCCAAGCCGCCTCCAGCTGCGAAAGATGATTCTGAAAGCGAGATGTCGGTGGTTCTTGACGAAGAGCCCCAACCCAAGCCCGCGCGCAAACGGAAGAGTGCAGATGGAGCTGCCACTAAAGCGAAGAAAGCACCAAAAGCGCCCAAAGCAAAAGACGCGGACCTTGACCCAGACCAGGCCGAAATCAAACGGCTACAGGGATGGCTGATCAAGTGCGGTATCCGCAAATTATGGGCAAAAGAGCTGGCTCCGTATGATACCCCGAAGGCGAAGATCAAGCATCTTAGGGGGATGCTGGACGATGCCGGGATGAAGGGCCGGCCATCTCAGGAAAAAGCCAACCAGATCCGTGAAGAGCGGGAATTGAAAGCGGATTTGGAGCAGATCCAACAGGATGCGAAACAATGGGGTGCGAAGAGCGACGAGGAGGAAGGAGATGGCGATGCGAAGCCCCGACGCAGGCTCGCTCGAGGACGGCAGGCGCTTGCGTTCTTGGAGAGCGATGGCGAGGAGACCGATTGATAATATCACATAGCTTGTAATGGGTGGGCTTCCCACGTTCAGCAGCTGGGCTGTTTGAATGCCGATGACTGGATTATGCTTTCATCTCACTTGTACTTCATAATCGAAATATAGGGTTAATAGGGATTGCATTCCATCAACGCCCTGCCTTTGGTCCGCTCATGCGCTGTGCTACTAGACTGAAGACAGCGACAGAAGAGATGAAGAGGACGAGATTGTAAAACTAGTAAAGAGTATGAGTATGAGTATGTGCCGTGGGCCTGTTTCAAGGGTGACATACAGCTGTTCGCGAGTACTCGTTCTCCTCGGCCTCTGTTCTGGCCTCAACAAAGAGACGTCGCAAGTTAGGGAGATTAGCCTGCATACATGTTAGATCTTGGCGCATTAGCAAGTGTGAGTTGAGCTCACCATTGAGACGTAGACGAAGATCTGGGGTAGAGTCGGAGGTTCCAAAAAGGAGAAGAGCGGGAGGTCCAGAAGCCATTTGTGGACAACTTTTGATCATCCTTTCTCTCCCTCCCCATCCCTCCTGAAACTCCCCCACCATTCTTTTATTCCTTGATTGTTCAGAGGGATATTCCAACAACCTCCATATTCCTCGAACCCGCGCGAACCGTGAAGCTCTATCCCGCCCGCAGTCGCCCAACCCTCAACTTCCATCCCCGAGTAGGCGGAGGCACGACCTAGTCGTGGCTGAAGCTGTTACAACTTCGTCATGGCGATGAACAAGATTCGCGGCGCCTTTGCGGTGCCCCGCAAGGGAGAGACCTTTGAATTGCGAGCTGGCCTTGTGTATGCGGCCCCCCTCCACAATGCGCTGTCCACTTCGGCATGATGAAATAACAATGATACTGACCATTGTCACAGCTCCCAGTATGCCTATGAACGGTATGTCCAGCAGCAAAGCATTTGATCACCTTTATGCACCTTTGGGTCTAGGGCGAGGATGGGGTGACTGACAAGCACAATAGGAAGGAATCCATTCAGAAGACCATTATGGCCATGACCCTGGGCAAGGATGTTTCAGCTCTATTCCCGGACGTGCTCAAAAACATTGCTACGGCAGACCTTGAGCAGAAGAAATTGGTCTACCTTTATCTCATGTGGGTTTCATGGCGCGCCTCAACATGGCTACGTGTGCTGACCGGTGGAATCCCAATCGCAGGAACTACGCCAAATCCCACCCTGACCTATGTATTCTCGCCGTGAACACCTTCGTACAAGACTCTGAAGACCCCAACCCGTTGATTCGTGCGCTGGCAATCCGAACAATGGGATGTATTCGAGTGGAAAAGATGGTGGACTACATGGAAGAGCCTCTCCGCAAGACCCTTCGAGACGAGTCGCCGTATGTCCGCAAAACCGCTGCGATTTGCGTGGCCAAGCTTTTCGACCTCAACCCGGCACTGGCCCTCGAGAACGGATTCTTGGAAATGCTCCAGGAGATGATCGGTGACCCCAACCCAATGGTCGTGGCGAATTCGGTGACTGCGCTGTCTGAGATTCACCATACGGCCCCTGAGACACAGGCCCTACAAATTACGAATAACACTCTACGGAAAATGCTCATGGCATTGAATGAGTGCACAGAATGGGGACGCGTTACTATTCTCTCCACTCTGGCTGACTACAAGACGGCTGATGTTAAGGAGTCCGAGCATATCTGCGAGCGAGTTGCGCCTCAGTTCCAGCATGTCAACTCTAGTGTGGTTCTTGCGGCAGTCAAGGCTGTGTTCTTACACATGAAGAACGTTAACCCTGAACTGGCAAAGAATTACCTCAAGAAGATGGCACCACCATTGGGTATGTATTCCCACTGGAGTAAGTTCATTTCCTTTGCTAATCTTGGATAGTCACCCTGGTTTCGTCGGCTCCCGAAGTGCAATATGTGGCATTGAGAAATATTGACCTTTTGCTGCAGAAGCAGCCCGATATTCTCCAAAAGGAGCTCCGTGTCTTTTTCTGCAAATACAATGACCCGCCATATGTCAAGTTTCAGAAGCTTGAGATTATGGTGCGCATAGCAAACGACCGCAATGTAGACCAGCTCCTGGCTGAATTGAAGGAATATGCCCTCGAAGTTGATATGGACTTTGTCCGCCGAGCCGTCCGAGCCATTGGACAGGTCGCGATCAAGATTGAGAGCGCTAGCGAGCGTTGCGTCAACACATTGCTGGACCTTATCAACACGAAGGTGAACTACGTCGTTCAGGAAGCGATTGTTGTCATCAAGGACATCTTCCGGAAATACCCTGGCTACGAAGGAATTATTCCCACTCTGTGCCAGTGCATCGATGAGCTGGATGAGCCAAATGCCAGAGCTGCTCTTATCTGGATTGTTGGAGAGTATGCCGAGAAGATCAGCAATGCGGGTGATATCTTGGGAGGCTTTGTTGACGGATTCAATGAAGAATTCTCTTCGACCCAATTGCAGATTCTTACCGCGGTTGTGAAACTCTTCCTCAAGCGGCCCGAGAAGGCTCAAGGTCTGGTGCAGCGTGTGCTTCAGGCAGCCACTGCTGAGAACGACAACCCGGATGTCCGTGACCGCGCCTACATCTACTGGCGTCTTCTGTCCAACACCAGCGATTCGAATGCGACCAAGAACATTGTGCTCTCGGAGAAGCCTCCAATTGTCACCACCATCCACTCACTACCACCGGCACTCCTCGACCAGCTCCTTACTGAGCTGTCCACCCTCTCTTCCGTCTACCACAAGCCCCCAGAGCAGTTTGTCGGTGCTGGCCGGTTCGGTGCCGATGCTGTCCAGCGCGCTGCTATCGAGTATGTACCCGTCCTCTTACTTTTGCCAAAATATTTTGCTAATCCATCTGCAGGGAACAAATCCAGAACGCGCGCGAGAACCCATTGGCTGCAGCGGCAGCCGCCGCAGCCGTCTCTGGCTCTTCCGCACCTGCGCAGGCGCAAAACAACGTCGAGAACCTGCTGGACATCGATTTCGACGGCGGTGCCCCTGCCTCGGCGCGAAACGAGCCGTCTAGCGGCATGTCCGGTCTCGAGGGTCTGGGCGGAACCCCCGTGCGCGTCGAGTCCCCTGCAGTTGGTGCCCCCGCACCGCAATCCAGCAACAACCTAGATGACCTATTGGGGGTGTTCGGCGACTCGGGTCCCTCCCAGCCCTCATCGAGCGGCGGGAACGGCGGCGGCGCCAGTGTTGATCTTATGAACGGATTCTCTGGCCTGGATCTCTCAGGGAACACGCCTGCGGCTCCTTCAGAAAACAATCAGACCAAAAAGTCTAACGAGGATATTTTGTCGCTCTTTTAGAGTGGTATAGTTAGGTCTAGTCCACTCTACGGGCTAGGTGGTGTTATGTCCAGGTGTTTCGCAAGCGAGGATCTGGCCAGAACGAATAGATTGGTGTCTTTATGTGTTTAATTTTGATTGCATCTCTCCAACGGAATTCAAAAGGCTCGCATGTACATTTCTTTGCCTTTTCAAATATCGATTTCTTGCTGTGGCTGCATGTAGATAAGCGTGGTAAAGCTTGGCTACGCCCTATAGAGCACCTGCATATGTATGACGTATCATCAACACTTTTACATGCATGTAGAAACATGATGATAGAACAATAAATAGCGGTGATGAGGTGATGGTACATCATGTACAGTAGCAAATTTTCTCCCTCATACACCTGTGGACGGCTCGGCTCCACCGAGGGGCCAAAAAAAATAAATAAATAAAGGGAAAGAAAAAACATGAAAAAAATAGAAAAAAATAGAAAAAAGCGGGAAAAGAGACATAGAAGCCAAACCGATCACAAGGTGTGCCAATGAGCAGTAGGAACTATATAGCAACTGCGGTTCTTGTCTATGTGCCCAATTCATGCCCTTATCAGACACGCCGAGTCTCCATCCCGACTCCAACTTCACGATATCCCGTCGGGGTAGAACGGCTTACCAATTTCCAAAGGACACCGAAGTTTCCAGCTCCGAAAAATGTGGACTCTGGGTCAGTCCCACTGCCGCGGATATAAATGGGGCAGAGGCCCCAGAGGCCCCAGAGACAGGGCTCAGCATTTTCACCGTCAAATCTACATAGAACATCTCCAACATGGCGACAGACTACAAGTTCGAAGGCTGGATGGGCCTTGATTCCACGGCCAGCGAGGGCAACATGGTCTGGCAGGAATTCACTCCCAAGAAGTGGGAAGAGACCGACATCGATATCAAGATCTCGCACTGCGGTGTCTGCGGTTCTGACCTGCACACTCTGCGCAGTGGCTGGGTGAGTCTAAAAGGCCCTAAACTCAAAACCCAATTCATGCGCAATTACCAGGTTAGGGCTAGTATACTAACCATCTTAACCAGAGAGCATCCGACTACCCCTGCTGCGTCGGCCACGAGATCGTGGGCACCGCCGTGCGCGTAGGAAGCCAAGTATCCGACATCAAGATCGGCGACCGCGTCGGCGTCGGTGCGCAGAGCGAGTCCTGTCTCGGCCGCCAGGGTGACTGCGAAGAATGCGCCATGGGATTGGAGCAGTACTGCAGCAAGAAGGTTATCGGCACCTACAACAGCAACTTCTACAACGGCGACAAGTCGTACGGTGGATATGCGCTGTACAACCGTGTGCCTGGCCATTTCGCTATCAAGATCCCCGATGCTATCACTTCTGCTGATGCGGCGCCTATGCTGTGCGGTGGTGTGACTCTTTACAGTCCTCTCAAGCACAACAACTGTGGTCCCGGCAAGCGTGTCGGTATCATTGGTGTTGGTGGCCTTGGTCACTTTGGTGTGCTTTTTGCTAAGGCTATGGGGGCTGACAAGGTTGTGGCTATTTCGCGCAAGATGAACAAGAAGGAGGATTCGTTGAAGATGGGAGCTGATTTGTACATTGCTACTGATGACGAGCCGGACTGGGCTACTGCCAATGCTCGGTCTTTGGATTTGATTGTTTCTACTGTTTCTTCTACTAAGGTGAGTTCGTTCTCTACGTCGACTGTGTTGCGGTGGGCATTGAGCTAATTCTAGATAGATGCCCATGGTCGAGTATCTGGGTCTTTTGAAGACCGGTGGCACTTTTGTTCAGGTCGGCCTTCCTGAGGATGGTGGTCTGTTCGCTCCTGTTCGCAACTTGATGCGCCGTATCAAGCTTGAGAGCTCGCTCGTTGGTAGCCCTAACGAGATCCGCGAGATGTTCCAGCTTGTTTCAGAGAAGGGGATTCGCCCTTGGATTGAGGAGATCCCTATGAAGGATGCCAACAAGACCATTGTTGATATGGAGGATGGTAAGGCACGCTACCGCTACGTGCTTGTCAATGACCAGTAAAAAGGTATAAGACATAGAGATGATATAGAGATGATATAGAGATGAGACCATGAATAGAACGGTGTTTTGACTATAGATATGGGGGTTGTACTTGACATCTCGCTGTACAGTGCTATTTAATAGCATCTAATATATTATTCCGTAAATTTCCGTGCATCTCTTCACTTTCACCTCAACTTCTTCATCCGCATCTTCTTCGCCAATCAGGCCGCACACGTGAGCGGCGCCGCTCTCGGAGACACTAGTCCGCATTGGGATACAGTGCCCCCGCGGTGGGATGAATCATTCCTCTTCTTTGCGCCTCTCTCTCTCTGTGAATCATTTACTTTTATGCCAATTGACTCCATTTCTGGCCCATCATGTCTCCAACACTATCACAAAAATACTTGAGCACCCGGGGTGCGGAGTACGGAGTGAGTTGACCCCGATACAAAAAAATGGAAAACTGTCGCAACGGCTACTAACTCACCAGTTTTGTTTCTAGTTGTCTTTCGAGGATGTTGTTCTCAAGGGCCTGTCCTCGGATGGTGGTCTGTTCATTCCCGAGGAGATTCCTGCCCTCCCCGCCTCATGGGAGACCGAGTGGCGCGACTTGACATTCGAGGAGCTGGCATTCGAGATTATGTCGCTTTACGTCTCTCGCGACGAGATCCCCGCCGATGATCTCAAGGATATCATTCAAAGATCCTACTCGACTTTCCGTCACGCCGAGCGTACTCCTTTGGTTGACTTGGAGAAGGACTTACACCTGCTTGAACTCTTCCACGGTCCTACCTTTGCCTTCAAGGGTTCGTTCCCTTCTCGCCCTTATTGAATTGTTCTAATATCCTTTAGATGTCGCCCTTCAGCTCCTGGGAAACACCTTTGAATACTTCCTGACCCGCATGAACGCTGGCAAGACTGGCAAGGACAGACACCATCTGACCGTTGTTGGGTGAGAACTACTGTTTCTTTTTCCTATACTAGAGCATTTCACTGACTCTTCAAAGTGCTACCTCGGGTGACACTGGCTCGGCCGCTATCTACGGTCTCCGCGGCAAGAAGGATATCTCCGTGAGCATCTTATATCCCAACGGCAAGGTCTCCAAGATCCAAGAGGCCCAGATGACATCCGTCCTCGACCCCAACGTGCACAACCTCAGGGTGGAGGGCTCCTTCGATGACTGTCAGGACATCGTCAAGGCCCTCTTCGCCGATAAGGACTTTAACACCACCCACAACATCGCCGCCGTGAACAGCATCAACTGGTGCAGAATCCTCGCCCAGATGACCTACTACTTCCACTCCTACTTCTCCCTGATCAAGTCGCCCGCCTACAACAAGGGCTCCAAGGTCCGCGTAGTCGTTCCCTCCGGTAACTTCGGCGACATCCTGGCCGGCTGGTTCGCCAAGAAGATGGGTCTCCCCGCCGACAAGCTTGTCATCGCCACCAACGAGAACGACATCCTCGACCGCTTCTTCCGCAGCGGCGGCCACTACACAAAGAAGGCCCTCGACGCCCCTGCAGACCACGGAGTTAAGGAAACCCACAGTCCCGCCATGGATATCCTCGTCAGCAGCAACTTCGAGCGTCTCCTCTGGTTCCTCTCCTACCAGTCCGCCACCACCGGCTCAGCCGAAGAACGCCGCCAGCACGCCTGCGACAGCGTCAGCGGCTGGCTCAACGACCTCAAGACCAACGGCGGCTTCCAAGTCCCCAGCGCCGTCCTCGAAGGCGCCAAGGTCGACTTCGAGAGCGAGCGCGTCAGCAACGACGAGACCATCGCTACTATCCGCGATATCTACTCCACATCATTCCCCAAGGGTCTCACCGCCGGCAGCGCTAAGAGCTCCAAGACCGGTGGCTACATCCTGGACCCCCACTCCGCTGTTGGTGTTGCTGCCTCCCGCCGCTCTATCGCCCGTAACCCCGGTGCTGCCCATATCTCTCTGTCAACTGCTCACCCGGCTAAGTTCGCTAGCGCTGTTGACCTCGCTCTGCGCTCTGAAAATGGTTATGACTTCACTGAGATCTTGCCTCAGGAGTTCATTGGTATTGAGCAGCGGGAGAGCCGTGTCACGGATGTTGGCCGTGAGGCTGGTTGGCAGGGTGTGAAGGAGATTGTTAAGGCTGAGGTTGAGCAGGAGCTGCAGGGTCTGCGTTGAGAGTTGATTCTGTTTTAGACTTGTATATGTGCAGTGCATAAGTAACAATCTCGGTTCTACATTATAAAAAATATACATTGTTGATTTGCTAGAAGACAAACACCAACATGTATCATTCATAGATCGTGGATCATAGATAGTTACGTCTATATTCCCCCATCTCCTATCCCCATCAACCCATCCGCCGACCCAACGGATCTTGCTTGTTCCTTTTGTCTCGTTTTTATCTCGTTTTTACTTCCTTTTCCTGTGTTCTTTCTACTTCGTTGATTCAATTGATCATTTTGGACCGCTCAGTCTACGTAAACCACATTCGGACAACTCAGGCACCTCTCTCTCATGGGCCCGCGGGTGTACACCGAGTAAAGGATGAGTAAGGCTGAACAATAAACCCGAATAGCGCAGAGACTCGCTGAATGGACTCATTTTTCAGAGCTCTCGACATTACGCCAGCAGAGTAAAGATTTACAGCTAGCTCAGAGGAGAATAGCTAGCATGTGGAGATTTTGGGTATTCTCCGAACATAGATATAGCGAAATAAGATACCTCCGCTCCATAATCACTGTCTCTTGAAAAACGGAGCACTTGCAGTGGTGAAAGAGTTGCTGCCGATGTTTGCTTTGGTACCAGTTTCGGCACTAATAGACCCTTTGACGGCTGCTAAGATCTACCTTCTTCCTAAGGTAGTGGCAATGCTAGCCCTTCTCAGTGCAAAACCTGGTGGAGAATGTTGTGCCAAGTATCGAGACGGTACCGGTGGCCTAGATACCAGCTTTGATGGTGTTAATAGCACCGAAGAGGGACATAGCTCGACGTTAACTAGTCCACGAAGTTGATATAACGGCGTTTGAACATGCCATTAGAGTAAATGCTGGTGACTTTATAATTGCCTGACAACTGCGGTTTTGCAAACGTCTGTCTCGTAAGCTTCCTGCCATCCTGGCCTTACGCAGATCCTATGTACAGAAGGTATCTTCGGGAGAAGCTCGATATTATTAGTCCAGAGCTGATATACGTTTGCTAGTGTAATTCCCGAGTTTAGCAATGATGGACTCGGCGCCATCTGTAACAAGCTGGTCGAAGACGGGTAACGTTATGTGCTATTAAATTGTTCGATAGTCATTGCGAGCGCTCGGAGAGGAATGGCCCTGAGCCGGCTAACCTATTCAATAATTTTGCGAGTGTCTTTGTCGCCGGAAAGGGTGGTGCGGGATCTGCTGTGTTCTCCAAGAGCGACAATGGCACTTTTCTCATACAGGCCACTGCCACAAGGCGACGTCATATTTAGCCCTGTTCTACAGACAGTGTTTGGTATCAACTTAGGGAAATTGTGCCGGTTGCGGTATCGGCGTGGAATTTGCTACCAAACCGGATATCCGTTAACAGAGTTCGACTTGGATTCCCGCAGGAGGTAGGAAAATCAAGGTAGAGCCATACATAGCGGTGTTTCACTACGAATAGTGCGGCAGCCATGGTGTCGATAAAGTTTTCAAGTCGAACACTGAAGTTGATAGGAACCATTGATGCAGAAATAAACAACTCAAGCAAATTTATTTGAATGCAAATACTTTTTAAGTGTATACTAGTGTCAATGAAGAACATAAAATGAGAAAAGAATCCAGCATAAGACTCTATATATTACTATTAGCGTATTTATTATAGGTCCGACAAATTAGAAAAGACAAAAATCTCGAAATGACCAAGCAACTCTTGTCTCCCAACTCCCGGCCCTGTCAAGAACAGGAGAGGAGAAGACCAAGCGGAGCATATAACAAGACAGACACAAATTGATACTCAAGATCCCATGAGGACTCTCTGATCCACACCACGAAGACCAGAAGAGGTCAGGAACTGAGAAGTTGGGGGATTTGCTCAACCCCAACCAGATCACACCCGAAGGGTGGATCGGCCATCAGTAGTTACTCAACTGGTTTACAGGAGAGCCATGAGGCCGACGATACCGGCAAGGAGACCGGCAGCGGGCTGCACGTTGGAGGCAGCACCAACGAAGGTGCTGGGCTTGGGCGAGGCAGCGGGCTGCTGAGGGGCGGAGGGCTGCTCGGGGGTGGAAGAGGGCTGGACGACAGCGGGGTGGGTCTCAGCGGGCTGGGAGGCAGCAGGGACCGAGGCAGCAGGGACCGAGGCAGCAGGGACAGAGGCAGCAGGGACCGAGGCAGCAGGGACCGAGGCAGCAGGCACGGAGGCAGCGGGCTGGGAGGCAGCAGGGACAGCGGGCCGAGTGGCAGCGGGCTGGGAAGGAGCGGGCTGGCTCTGGGCAGGCACAACGGGAATGGAGGAAGCGGGTTGAGAAGGAGAGGGCTGCACGGAAGGAATCACGACGGCGCTGGTGGTCTGGACAGGGGCGGTGGGGCCAGCAGTGGCGGGCTGAGTAGCGTTTTGGAAGGTCAAAGGCTTCTCCTCACACAGGGTGCAGACGGTGGTCCTGGTGATGGTGATGGTGCTTGTTCCAGTGACAGGGATGGTGAAAGTGTGGGAGCCCGAGGTGCTGGTAGTGGTGGTGACTGGACCATTGTTAGCAGATGGATTAGGAGTCAAGGCGGTTGAGAAAAGCTTACCAGGGCAGGTGGTGGTCACAATGGTGATGGTCTTGGTGGTGCCCGGGTTCACAGGGGTGTGAGACGTGGTGTGGGTGCGCACCGGGGTGGTCGAGGTGTGAGTCGGGGTGGTCGAAGTGTGAGTCGAGGTGGTGTGACTGCGAGTCGAGGTGGTCGAGGTGGTGCACGGGGTGGTCGTCGACTCATGCTTGTCGGTGGGACGGGTCCAGGTGGACTTGGACCAGGTCTCACCCCAGCCCTCAGCGTGGTGGGAAGCAACGACAGCAGAGGTCTCAGCGGCGGGAAGGATGAAGTCCTCGCCACGAGCCTGCATGACACCGGCAAAGGCCGGGCTGGCAACAAGGGCCAGAAGAGCAACGGAGTTGATCATTTCGAGAAATTAAGGTCTTGCCTAACGAACTTGAAGATAACGAGTGAAGATGGAATGGATGAAGAGAAAGAAAGTTCGACAGGAGAGACGCGAGTTTATATGTCCTTTGCGATCAGTCATGATGGGCGTACGTGCCACGGTCGTGCCCAGGAGAAAAAAGGTAGACCTGAACCACAATGTCACCATCTAAGGCTGAATGCAGGAACAGTGACAGCCCAACGGCGGATGACCAAGGTCCGAATGCAAGGCCATTGGATGAAAATTTTCAGCAATGATACCTTGATATGGTGGAGTCAGATGCAAACGTGACAGTCTGCGGTATCATTTCGGTAAGTAGCGCAGAAAGTCTCCATATAGTAGCCAAATGCGGAAACTTGAAGCAAAGGAGTTTGAAGATCGACAGCACCCGTTCCGGATCTGCAAGATCTGTCAAGCATCTGGTTAGCTGATTGGATGTTGCTTCATTTAGATTGCAAATCGCCTCAATGTCAGTTGAAGAAGATCTGATTCGAGTGTGTTGATTCAATACTCAACCAAAAACTGCCCGAATGGAGAACTTTGGCTATAGAATTATCATAGCCAAGGACACACTCTCCGGACACGGAGGCCGTCAATAGTCTAGTGGCTGGGGCTTAGTCTGGCACGGACATCAAATTGGGATGGTAACCACAATTGACAGGTAGAGAATCCTTTGATTGGGGTAAAGCTCCTGGAAACGCAGGTCCATCCCCGCCGAAAGTCCCCAAGACCGTCGATCAAGAGCAGCAGAGGGCCATTCGCGAATGAGGGCGTCGTCTGGGGTACATTGGAATGTGGGAATGGCATCCGACTGGGTGCAGAATCGTCCTATTGGCGGGTGCCACCTTGAAAGAATGTACAGAGCTTGGCCATGGCCCGAGCAAGGCAATCCCGAAAAGTCCACAATGTCTCTAGATGGAAGCAGTTCATCGAGGATCACCGATCGTGGCGTCGTCGGCTGCCATCGACGACGAGGAGATGTCGCTCTCGCTCTCGCACCAGATGTGGTCAAGTCTTCACTAGAACATGTTGATGGACCTGTCGCCAGAAACAGATAATGGGTTTCTTCCAGGAACTGAACTCAGGAGTAACCCAGCCAATCTGAGGTGCTGACCTGTGTCGTACCATTGCTGTACACCCGGTAACCACCGGGTTACCTGGGAAGTCTAAATGTCATCCAAGGTTCCTAACGGTGGGCGTCCGCAAACGGCGGTAGTTAGAAAATCTTTTCGCGACTAGTCACTTCAACGTGAAACTGCCTCGAGGCTGGCAGGAGAGACGTCCGAATGCAGCCATACATAGGATATTCCTTTTTAGTCCAGCACGTGACTTAGGGCATAGGGCAGACGCGTGCACGGTCTCTCACGCGTCGCGCGTCGCTCTTTCCCGTTTGGGGTGTTAATTGGCAACTCAGTTCATCTGCCATCGCCATTTCCCTCACAATGCCTCACTCTGTATCGCCTACCGGTGCAGCGCAACCTGATGATGAGATGCCGGACGCTCCTCCGGTTGAAACCTCGACCGAGAACAGCGGTGTCAAGCTGGCGGACATGTTCGACGACGATGACGATGATGAGTTTCCTGCTTCCAGCGCACCAGACGCGAACATGAAATCCCCAGCAGCTCAGGAAGAGTGAGTGATGTCTTGCACAGAAACGACCGTGTAGCTGATCGAATACTCTCAAAAGGCCGGCTCCTGTGCCCTCTGGCGTGGACCAAGATATCATGCTTGCTTTCTACCAACGACTGTTCCCCTTCAGATACCTTTTCCAATGGCTAAACCACGGAATTGTACCCACTAAAGACTTCGGAAATCGCGAGTTTGCTCTCACCCTCCAAAATGACGCCTATCTCCGATACCAATCATACCCCACTGCAGACCTGTAAGGCTCATTTGCAACCCTCGTGATTATTACGTTTCGTCCGAACTGACATGGATTTGTTAAGGTTCCGTAAGGATATCCTGAAAATGAACCCTTCCCGTTTCGAAATCGGACCTGTCTATAGTACCAACCCCCGGGACCGCAAAACGCTACGAGGCGGCCAAATGAAGCCCGTGTCGAAGGAATTGGTTTTCGATATCGATTTGACTGATTATGACGACATCCGTACTTGCTGTGTGAAGGCGAATATTTGTGCCAAGTGCTGGTCATTCGTAACAATGGCAATCAAGGTCATTGACACCGCCCTGCGGGAGGATTTTGGATTTGAACACATTCTGTGGGTATACTCAGGTCGTCGTGGTGCTCACGCCTGGGTTTGCGACCCGCGTGCACGCAATCTACCAGATGATCGACGACGGGCCATTGCTGGATATCTCGAAATCCTCCGTGGTGGCTCGCAGAGCGGCAAGCGCGTGAACATCAAACGACCATTGCATCCCCATGTTGTCCGAAGTCTTGAATTGCTCAAGAATGATTTTGCTCGAACCACGCTCGGCGACCAAGACACATTCGAGAGTGCCGAGCAGGCCGAGCGTCTTCTGGCCTTGTTGCCCGATAAGACCTTGAACGAATCACTGCGGAAGAAATGGGACTCGTCACCGGGCCGTGCCAGCACCAGCAAGTGGGCTGACATTGATTCACTCGCCAAGACTGGTAAGAGCAGCACGCTCAACCCAGCCACCCTTCGAGACGCCAAGCAGGACATTGTCTTGGAATATACCTACCCGCGTCTCGATGCTGAAGTCAGTAAGAAGATGATTCACTTGCTGAAGAGTCCATTCGTCATTCACCCCGGTACTGGTCGTATTTGTGTACCAATCGACCCCCGCAAAGCCGAAGACTTCGATCCTTTGTCCGTCCCAACAGTGATGAACCTGCTCGCGGAGATTGACGAATATGATGCGAAGCACCCTGCTGGTACAGCGGAAGCTGAAGTTCCTGACGAAGGCAGTGCGGTGAACGGCTCTGACATAAAGGGTAGTCGCAAGCTGCAGGACTACGAGAAGACTAGTCTCAAGCCATATATCGAATTCTTCCGTTCGTTCATCGCAGGGCTTGTGAAAGAAGAGCGGGCAGGCAAGCGTGAGCGTGACGAGAGTGGACCCGGCATCAAGGCGGATCCCATGGAATTCTAGTGGATGTAGGTATGCTCATGTGCTTTTTAGCATGGTGGTACCTCCTAGTATTATGACGTTATGCTCTGTAATTTCTTCAATCATCGTATTCTGGACCTTGATGGTGATCTTGTCTTCTCGATGGGAGTTGGGCGTTTTTTTTTTTTTTTGCATGGAAGTGAATGTTTGACCACTAAATTCAGAATATGCATTAATTACCTCCCATTTCATAGAATATATTGGGCTTTTCAATCAGTGGCTGTTCTTCCGTGCGCGTCTTAGTATAGAAACAAGCTATCTCTGCTATACTTTGAATATGGTATTTCCCGCCTTAAGTTGCCGATATTACTCTTAAATAGCGAAGCAAATTGATCAGTCGTGCATACAGATGGCATGAAGACGTGCAAGTTTGCCTACGACTTCTATACCATAACATATCTTCAATAGTTGGGACGTCGGGACCTGGAAATTATCATGTCACGGCAAACATTGTCGCGAAAGATAAAGCAGTAATATTTTGCTTTACTTTATATGACAAATTAGAGACTAATTCAATCATATTCCAATTGAAGTGGTTGTATATTGAGAGATATTGGTACAAATCAAGTCGCAGAAGTAGTAGCACTAAAGCAGACCCAGGATATGGAGATCGGAGAAGGGCTTCTTCGAGACGAACAGGTTTGCCTCGATCAAAAGACTTTTCCGGAAGGATAAAGGGGAGAGTCGGATAGGTTAAGGGGAAAAAATGATTTAAGCGCCGATGAAGTTCTTGACAGCTGAAAGAAAGTTAGCAAGCAGGTCTCAAAATCACGACCGACCTAAGACAGAGAACATACCATCCAACCAGCGAAGGTACTCCTTCTGCTCCTTGACGGAAATATAGTCCGGGATCATGTTGGCGAACTCGGCGTTGAGGCCACGCTCCTCGAGGTAGCGCTCCCAGAGACCCTGGAGGTCCTCATCGAGGTTCTCGAATGGAGGGCCGGCGTAGAGGCTTTGACGAGCCCAGTCCTTCTCAGCAGTCTGAGCCTGGGCGAGTTCGGCCTTGGCGAAGTGGGAAACCTCTTCGATCTGGAAGACACCGTCCTGAACGACGGTCTGGATCAAGAGGGCGCCGTTGCTGGCCTTCTCGATGGTGACGTTAACGCGGGCGGGGAAGCTGGGCTCGGGCTGCTCGAGCTCCTCAGCACCCTGGTTTTGGTTCTGGAAGTCCAGCTCATCGCTGAGGGCGGCATCGTCGAATTCGTCCTGCTCACTGATGTTCTGGATGTCGGCGACGGTGAAGCTGACGCGGATGCTAAACGATCATTTGTATCAGCATTGTTATCGGCATAAAGGAGGCGAAATGTAAATGAATCAGGGTGTGGAGATCGTACGTCTCGTTGCCAAACTTCTTGGACAGAATAACCTCCTGCTCACCCTCAACGTCCTTAACGGTCCACTCGCCATTCTTGACAATAGCGTCGATGTTCTCCTGCTGCTCCTCGAACTCGGGGATGTCAGAAGACTTCTCATGCTTCAGCTCATCCTCGAGCTTGGCGAGAAGGTCGATATCGCCTGAAGAAAAAATAACATTCGAAAGTTAGCCTCAGGTCATACGTCGAGTCTGCGATCATGCAACACCGGAATCCCACGGACTCCATCCAATGCTAAGAATCCATCTTACCTTCGGATGCAGGGGCCTTGAAGACGGAAGAGGTTGAGAAAGCAGCGTAGGCGGGCTTGACAGCCTGCTTCAAGGGCTGGCGCAGAGCGGGCTTGACGAGTGTTGATGGGCGCAGAGCCGAAGAGGCAATGGAGCGCGAAAAGGTGCGCGGGATAGAGCGGGAGATAGTGCGAAGGGACAACATTGTGAACGTAGATGGAATATGGGATGGTGAAGGAAGATGAGAGCTTGGGAAAAGATGGAGGAGCTAACCCGATG